CAACATCATCAGATCAAGTCCCACCAAAGGGCACACTGTCAGAAAAAACAACCAATCCGCCGTAAGCCCACAAACCTCACTGACCAAAGCTCAAACTCAAAATCCGAAAGAAGAAAAATAAACCATCAACCATCAAAGCATCCGGGTCCACCGGACTCTGCCCAAGGTTACCAGATCAAGCCCCCTCTAGACAAGGAAACACAAAATCAAAAGCTAAACTACTACAAGCCACACATCTTACTGACCTGAGTTCCAAGGCCCCAGGGACCGACAGACTTTATCCCATCCTGTCAACACAGGCACCCAATGCTGCCATATCCCCCCAAATTTGCGTGAGAAATTAATCAGAGCACTGTCAAACACCTCATCAGGATAAGATTGTTTTCACAACTCCATCTTCAAGGTGAAAAGAAATGGAAGCTAAGTAGCCGGGACAGTAGCAAAACGCTTAGCACGATGCAGAAAGGAACCTACCACCGCAATCTTCTGTTGTTTGCTCGAGAAGGAGCAGTAATCTTGAATACTCTGAAATACCAACCTTTCCTTCACAGGCACACGCTGATTCTTATGGCAAGGAAAACTCACCACCTCACTTGTCTTGTTAAATTCTCAACACACCCAAGGTACTCCCACAGTCTCCCAGCAGTCTCCGATATTGGTCTGCTCTAATGTCAAGTTTTTATCGTAACTATTCTGGAATTTTTCCAGAATCTGCAGAGCCCGACTCAAGGAATCATCATCCTTCTTAGGATAACTCACGAACACCGACACGTCGTCAACAAGTCGAAAACCATGAAACAACGATCTATCCGACCCCAAGGAAGAGAGTTTTACACGCCAGAGCTGGGCTGGAAGACTTGCCCATTGGTATACCAACGTTCTGCTGCAACAAGCGACCGGCAGCCATCACATACGTGTTATAAGTTCATGTTCAACAAACTTGAATATAAGATGAAATTTCACAGAAAGCCATCCCTCCCCGCCTCGTTTTTTAACAACTTTTGCTCCCTTGCCTCGTTTCTTAACTGCTACTGCCATGTACTCCTGGTTCTCCCAAAAATCAATAGCCTAAATGACTTGAAAATTTATAGGCGTGTACCTCACGTCATAGAGAAGTCACAGAAAAAAATTCAGAAAAAAACAAATATTTTTAGGCCTTGAAATAAGTTTTGGCGGGGGCCGAACGCCGTCAGGTTTGGACCCCATACGGGACCCCGAACGCCCATACGTACGTACGGTCTGCCCGGGGACCTCCGTACGTACGGGCTGGTGACCCTGTATATATATATATATCGATATATATGTGTATATATATATATTTTGACGATATATATATATAGGCTACCAGAGTGGCCCAGGGTCACTTGCCCGGCCGGGCAAAAATAATTAAAATAAATAAAAATAAATAGAGTATTTTTGAATTTTATTTTTTATTTTTTAATTTGGTGAAGAATTTCGATGTGACCCTGAGGCAAAAGTTGTTCAGTTTATTTTTCTGCATAACATAATTGTTTTTCAGAATTTTTGGATTGTTTTTTTTTTTCTTTTTTCTTTTTGCTGGGACCTTACCTGATCCTTGCACGGGCTGGCCACCCGGGACCCGGGCGGCCCGGCTGGTAGCCTAGTATATATATATATATATATATATTTTTCGCCCGGCCGGGCAAGTGACCTCGGGCCACTCTGGTAGGATGATGATGGGGTTCTCAGGCTACAAACACAGTGAGAATCACACAGAGTGAGAGACACACAGTGAAAGCACACAAGTGACACGCGTCACCGTAGTGACAGTAGACGAGTAACTGATGAAAACCAAGGGTTACCACGTTCAGAGCCGACAAACCCAAGAACTGCCACAGTCCACAAACCAGCCCGGGTCTGCCATCGTCACGGTCAACTATACACCACGGGAACCCAAAAGGCTGAGACCAGAAAACGTCTTCCTACTTATAGTCCGACAGACGACAAAAAACCAGTTCGAAACATCACTTCGGGCCGACTCCACCTCCCAAGCGGTGGGACTGTCCGCTTGATACCCGGTACGTCAATGGTTCTAGGCCTCTTCGAGAAGACATACCTGGTACTAGGCCATCCGAAAAGATCCTGGAGCAGAAAGGGTTCAGACGCCGAAATCGGCGAACCGTGCCAGAAATGGTCCAAAAGATTCACACAAGGCAAAACAACACCAAGCCTAAGCCCTAGACATCCAAGAGGGGTCAAAGCTAACTCAAAAGAACAAACCCTGTTCAAATCCTGAAAAAGAAAAAGGAAAAAGAAAAAGGAAAAAGAAAAAGGAAAAAGAACAGCCCTGTTCAGATCCTAACAATCACAAATCAAGTCCATTGTCCTACGCCAATAACCATCTCTCCTGCTGCCGAAGCGACGAAATACGCGGTTAACAAACTTCTCCGGAAAGTCTTTCTTCAACAGTTCTTGTTGGACTCCCAAAACCTTGTTGGGAATCTCGGATCTTAAGGAAGTATTCTGATCGATGCGATGAAGATGACTGCCTATCACAACACTCTTCTGTTTTCGGCTACCCCACGAATGGAACGATTGTCCATTCTGAATCTTTAGGGGTTCCTCGGACCAAATGTTGGACTCATTCCTAGACAGCTGAACGCTGCCCGGATACGGAAAAACCTGCTGCAGACGAATCTCGCAGCCTAAGAAGTCCAGGATGCCCGTACCATCATCAGTACGTTTGAGCGTCAAATTACTGGGATAGCAATTCAAAAGAGCGTCCAGAATCAACGACTTCACATCATCGCACTTACTGGAGATAACCAGTAAAACATCATCAATAAGTCTCAAGGCCCCAAAGCATCGACAAAAACGACCCAAGGTGCAAGTCATCTGATATTCCGAATAAGCACACATTATACAGGCGATGGGGGGACTCGTGCTTTTCCCCATCAAAACACCTAACTCCTGTTTAAGCAGAACACCAGTAGCGTAGCAGAAGGTGTGCTCTACTTCAATGTGTACAAACTTCACAACATCTGAAAGCTTGAAAGCTTTCCAGTGGTCAGCACCCGTGGTGATTCCGAAGGAAGTTCCCTTCCCCCGTGTATTGACCCAAACTGAGTCCACGCCCTTGGTCCTGAAGTGCTCAACAATCCAGTCAATAGCCTGCAAAAGCGTGTCATGTGGTAATCTGCTGAACATTTCTTTGACATCAAAAGAGTAGGAGGAGATGTACCGCTGACCACCCAACTTACTCAACTTTACATTCAAGTTACCCAGACTCTTCGTCAGATCAAAGAAAGACCGCAGATTAAAATGTCAGTTCTTTGGCAAGTTCTACAACAGATGATTAAGAACCTTGCTGATCAGGCGAGAGGTGCGGAACAACGGTTCACAAAATGACGGACAAATAGGCCTAAATCTGCCAAGGTCCTTGTTTTTGGGAAGGACGGAGGCTGAGCCCAAGGTCCCGGTGTTATCCCATTGTACCACTTTGGTCAGTCCATTCCTGGAAATGTCCTCTCTCAACTCCCGGATCGCCTCAGTTTCAGAAAAATTAACAATCCGGTATCCAGGGTTGCAGACAAATGTCTGCATCATTGCGTCGTAGTACGTGCCGAGGCACATAACTACAGTCTCGCCAGGATTCCTGTCAACTCCAGTAAGAACCAGACCCTTAAGTCTAGCCTTCAAAGCCATAACTTCCTGTACAGGCAGGCAATTGATCCTAGGATCAGGATTAGAGATGCACGCTGTGAGATCCAGATCAGAGCAGTCGGGGATGAGTCCATCCAGGTTCTTCCAATTTGTAAACCCGGCACAAATCTCATCACGTAATAGACTAAGTCGGTCACCACGTTCAACAACAGGGATATTGTTCGCATTACTTAAAAGAGGGTGCAAACTCTCTACCTCACTAAGTCGGAACAACACATGACCATTCACGCGGGGAAGGTCCATACCTGCCCAGCTACAGGTAAGCACACTGTTAGAAGATGCCCTTCTATGATTGTGCAACAAATCAGCAATAGTAGGATTTTTAGAGCCTACTATGCGAATCTTCCTCCTGGCGCGAAGAATAAAGCAACGTGGAAGTTGACAACACATCAACAGATCATTTGCCACTTTATGAACCTCAGAAATCACAATTCGATCGTCAAACTTAAACCGGAAAGTGAGATCAGAGGCTAAGCTAAGACCAAAACGATCGCGAAAACAACGGCAGATCAATCTCCGTAAGTACTTACGAGTTGATTTCTTAGAGAAGTCCTTAATCACACGGTAGAGTCTCAGGAAGGCTTTCATACCCCATTTGTACACATCTGCAAGCTTTCTCGGATTATTCAAAATACCAATCAGAACATTTCTCAGATATCTACACTTGGATTTCCATTTCACCACATGCACTTTTGCATTCTTTAAGTCGCCCAAACATGCGAGAGATCTTCTTCCATGTAGGCGTCCAATCCGTCCCTCCATCCGATCTTACAAGTCCAGGTGGGATTCCCACGTCAAGGGAGGAATCCAAAAAGGAAAACAGATCCAGAAAATGAAGCTCCTTATTAATAGACCAGAACCGTAGGGGGTGAACTATCCTAGGAACATTATCTCCCCTTGCTTTCCCACGGCTCCGTTCCTTGCGTCCTGGTTCGCACTTTCCCTGCTTCTTGCTAGATTTAACACCGGCAGAATTAAGGAAAGGAGACCAACGAGAGATATACAAATCTTCCAGTATTTTCAGATCGTTTCCTTCAAAAGTATCCACGGGAAGTAAGACATAATTGCCAATTCCAAAAGAAGAAATCCATCGATGAAAATGAGATTGTGTGCGCTTACGTACAACATATATGTGCTCCCGCCATCTAACATCCACAGTACGGACGGTCTTACCGATATAGCAGTGCCTAAACGACAACATAGACAACACCCGTCTTCTCGAGAAAGTCAAGATCGAACTGGCTATACAATCGCGTCCATTGTACAACGTACTTCTGTAACCATCTAACCTGACACGTCAATGCTAACAAGATGATGATCAACCGCAAATGCCTCCGTTCCGACCTCCGTGGATTCGCTGGTCGGGATCACTTCGGTGCTGGCACAAAACTGGGAAACTGCATCGTGGCACGATGTTCAGCCAAATCGAAGATCGCATCGATTTTGCCGACGTACGGGATGCCTTCATCTTTGCAGAAGCGTTGGAGTTCTTCAGCGTTGCACTCCTTAAGCTCCCTCATGATGGAGTCCCGATGACGAAGTCGGGAGAGCGCCCTGCTGGCAGGTGTCAACTTCCCACTTGGTGGGGTGGTCTTTCGGTTCTTCGTAAGTTTCGATAACGGGGTCTTGATGGCCGATCGCCGTTTCGCCAGAATCGGAGTTAAGGCACCTTTGGTTCGAGCACGAGTCATTCGGCTGGTAATGCCACCCCGAGCTGCGGCTCGGTTCGGAGGTGTCTCCATCGGTGGGCTGTCCCCAATCGGCGCGTCAACCGCCCGCTTCCTCTTCTCCACAATACACAACCGTTTCGTCTTCTCGCTAATCTCCTGAGTCATGCTCGTCTCACTCTCATCAGAGCTGTAGTCCGTCTCGCTGCTTGGCAATGGATCGAACTTCACCTGCTTCTTGCCTTTAGGGTCAACTCCCCCACTAGCGAGAGCAGGGAGAACAAAAGACTTCCACTGCTGGATCCAGTCCTCCTTAATCTCGCTCATCAACATGGCCACTCTGGTAGCCTAGGTAATCCTTAACACTCTTTAAGCAAATAGCGGGTCTCACGTAACGCTCCCGCGAGATCCCGCTTTCCGCTGTTGGGAAACGTGGTGGGACGGACACCGCATGACGCCTTCGGGGCGAGCCGGACAGGCGAGGCCCGGATTGGACGGCCCGATAGAGCTTTCGGGGATCCGCGTCAGATGATCACCGAAACTTCTATCGGGCCGTCCAGCTCGGAGCCGAAACTTCTATCGGGCCATCCAGCTCGGAGCCGAAACTTTTATTGGGCCGTCCAGCCCGGAGCCGCTCGATCGTCTTAACGGTCGCCGGTCCGGCTTTTGCATTCGTGTGCTGCTTCGTGCAGTGATGTTTCGATGCGACAATTTTCAGCGCTTTGTGGTCGCTGTGGTGCTTGCTGCGCTCGGTTCGATGGGAGGCGAAGAGAGAGAGAGAGAGAGAGAGAGAGAGAGAGAGAGAGAGAGAGAGGAGGGGATTGGTAGGTGCAGACGTCGTCACACGCGGGAGGAATTGCGTGGACGTTGCACGGAGATGGCGGACGAAGGTGATTTGATTTTTTTTTCTTTTTTTT